TTTTTTAAATGTATTAAATTAATATAAAAATATACTATTAAAATTATACGAAAAGAAATCAATGTTAAAATACATAAAAAGTGATTTAGAAGAACCATAACCTTTCAAAAACAAATTTGCCTCTAATAATTGAAGGAATAGGAAAAACATGCCAACATGGAATTAATTGATTTTTGATACGCCGTACCAAAAAAATTAATTGGGATATTTGATCTTTGCCAAACTGTCCTTAGAAGAGAAGGCATAATCCCATGAGGCAAACCGAATCGTAATGCTACGCATTAATCAGTGTCACATGTCCTCATGTTCGCTGGGTGAAGGCCTGTTTGGCTATTTTATGCAGGTTTTGGGTTTGTGACGTAAAATATCAAAATCATTATTCCTTGGAGCTTCTATGGAAATTTATATTTGTGATCTCCTTCAATCTATAGACCAAAGTTTGTGGTCTGATCCGTCCTACATACATAGTAAATGAAATTTGGTTTTCAACTGATAATTAATTTGATTGTATTCATAAATTATTAAGATTCTATTTAACAAATGATTTCGTTTTAAAGATATTTTAACTAATTAAAATTTTAAATTTTAAGTTTATAAGATTTAATATTTTAATTTTTATATCGTTAAAGAAGAATTTAAAAAAAGGACAAATAATATCTTATTATCTATCACATTATCATTAGATATGAGACCAAAAATATAGATTTACCTATTGGTCAATCAATTTCTTGGGAACTAATGATTGCTTTTATTGGGTCGGTGGGCAAAGAGAAAAATGCATCTCAATGACATCCTCAACTAGTCACATATATGAAATAAAAAGAAGAGGAAGCATGGGGGAAACTTTGAAAGGAAATGTGCCTGGACAAGAAACTATTAACATGATTGAGTACCATTTTTCTTTTTCACCGTCAATTAAGTACCATGCGGAAGTTGAATGGTACACAAATTGATGACAAGTGTTGTTGTAAGTTTTTTTTTTTTTTTCTTTGTTTAAGGTACAATGATTAGGTAATATTCTAATCAATTTTACCGGAATGTCAATTGAAGGAGAACAAATCAACAACTTAATTGGCAATCTCTCTTTTAAGGTAAAAAATTTT